CCCCCCGCCCTCCATGTCCAACGACAAGGCAATTTCTACGAGGGCCCCACCCCCTCCGAAAAGATAAGTACAGAACTCCAACTTGAACGAAGCAAGAACAAAACTAGACTGGCCGCGGAAACTGAAGAGCGGCGGCCCCCGCACCACCAGGTCCGAACTGGCCCACCGGGACTAACCCCCTAAAGCGCCTAATAGGTAGGCAATAAAGCATTCCGGTAAAGCTGAAATGCAGAAGAATGCAGGGAACAAGAAAACGGAAGTTCCATGTAAAAGCATAGTGATTGCTGTTTTCTTCTTCCTCGCATTCTTCTGCATTTTGGCTTTACCGAAATGCTTCATAAGTACGCCTCATATTGCCTTGAAATAGGCAAATAAGCATGGTGATGCCCCCCCCCCCCTTTTTGCACGGGGCGTTAGCCTCAGCGGAGTGGTCGAGGGGGCTCTACTAGCCTGTCGTCGCCCCCCCCCCCTTCCCTCCCGCAGAGAGAACAAGCGTTATGCCCAATGCGGTTATGGGTGCAGTTCTCATGGCGGTCGTGCAGGAATCACTGTCGTAAAAGAAGATGCGAGGTGCGTCGCGCCTCCGTCTCGCAGTACTCGGGATACTCGCCGCCGGTGCGTCAGACCGCCACCATGAGCGAGGCCGAGCACGGGGCTCCGAAAAGCATAACGTCACTATCGGGTCATGTCGACCCTTCGCACATTGTTGAAATCAGGTATTTCAGTGAAAACAAAGACCGGAAGTAGGAAGTAAAATGGAATCACAAATATACAGAACCAGCGGTGGAATGAGGGCCGTCGCGGTATGAGATATACGGCGGACTCAATAAAAAAACAAACGGAGGTCAGAGAATCACGTATTTCGTTCGTCAAAATACAGGCGTTAAACACAATACACTGGGAAGAACAAAGATGAGCCGTAGCGCCGAGGCGCGGACCCAAAGCACAACAGAAAGTGTGGCCGACCAATGACAAACGGTTTGGGTTCGCTCAAAGCCAGAGCCGATATGCGAACGGCGAAACTGTCGGCAAAACTGCACATTGCACAGCATTCACACGGCAGCGCGGGACGCAAAAGACGAACACTTCGCCGAACCCAACCTCAACGGCCGACCTGCGGTCCAGCGCCTCGGTTTTGCTTTGCGTCGGGCGAATGGCGGCACTTACCTCTCGAGCAGGGCTCGCTCCGGTCGCGGGTTGTGCCGTAGACTCCATGATGACACTCGGGGACAGACGAATCACTCGGGTACAGGTAAAACTCACTCTCGTTTATTTAGGCGCAACTCGGCCGGTGCGGCTACATTCGACCTTGACACGACGCACGACGCACTGTTTTGACGCTGCGGGTGGCGGGTGACGGCTTGTCTCGACACGTCTCGCTCGGTCAGCGCTTTCCCGACGGCTGCCGCGCGGGCGGGGGGCGGCGGGC